CCAAAGCTGACAGCAAAATGCAACAGGTTCAGTGTTTTCAATTAAAACAGAGGTTGCTTTTTCTGCTGTAAAATCGCTGCGAATGCTGAGGACTGAACAACTTTACAAATATTTGTTAAACTAACTGGAAAAAAAAAATACATAAAATGAGCAAATCTAGCAAAATAGCTGAAAGCTAAAACTTATAAAATGTTTAGCTAAAAGCTGAAGGGAGTAAATCCCAAATAAATAAAAAAATATTGTAAACTTAAGATAAAAATGAAAAAAAAAAATGCTAAAGTATAACCCAACTGCAGATAGAAGCTAAAATTTAGCTAAACAGTAAATAAAGCTCATGTTAGCAAAACAATCGCTAAAAGCTACAAGTAGCAAAAGTTGTAGCTTGGAGATAAAGTGTGCTAAATCGTAAGTTAAAGCTAAATTTAACTTTTAAAAAGTAAAATTGGCAAAATTGCAGCAAAGTTACAATTTAGAGAAATAGTAATTTAAAGGTAAATGAACAAAAGCAAAAATTAGCTATAACGCCAGCTTAAATTAAATTGTAGCTAAAAATCAAAAGCCAAATCGTAGCTAAATGTGGAATAAACAGAACGATACTTTGAAAGAATTGAAGAGATCTCAATGTGTTTTTAAGGAAGATTTTATTAAAAGTAAAATAATTGAAAAAGTGTAAAACGCGTAACTATTAGTAAATAACCATACAATGAAAAACTGATTAAAAAAAAAAAAGGTTTATAAAATGCTGCCTGCATGAACCACATGACGTTTTTGAGAATGGCGTTGGCCCAGCCAGCTATTAGCTCGTCAGTTTGGTCAGAAATATTTAGAGGTTGTTCAAAGAGTTATCTTCAACAGGTTAGACGTTGTTTGCTCATATCCTTTTTCACAGAACTCCACTTTAAAAAGATATTTCAGTCGAACCACTAAGTGAGCCATAAACTGTCATGTCAAGGTTTCATCAAAGTCAGCAGCTATTACCCTCGGAGAACCAAACAAAACCATCTAATGCTGTGTTCTAACATCGTCTCTAATGTAGTTACAACCTGTAATGCTGTTTCAGAATAAACTGCCTTTTTTTAGTTCAAATAAGTTACAGAATATAGTAAATCGAGTCTGGTTTAAAAACACCCATTCCATACGTCATTTATCAACTGATTAATTCCCTTCACAACACCACAGAGCTAAATTAGAAGCTCAAATGTCTAAAGATGTGACCTCCTTGTCGTGTGCAGAAATGTTTGATTTACTACAGTCCAGCTGCTGGGTGAGCCCACCCTTCACCAGTCAGCTCGGTGCGGCCTGGCTGGACAGAGATGGATGGCTGTTAGCGTGACACCTAGCTGTGGGTTACATGGCCTTGAGCTTCATCGTCTAATTAGGCTCTAATGTAACTACAATGCTCTTGAGATGTTGGCTCTTTAAAAGCCTCCCTGGGGCTGGGGCAGACCAGTCATGTCCAAGTCAAAGGGTCAGGTTTCTCATTTCTCTACACTGAAAAAGCACCAGGATCTTTATTTTGTCCCGAATTCGAGGTTATAAAAAATCCAAAGTGAAGCTTTTCATCATCTGTTGCCTTCAAATGTCATTATTTTGATGTAAAACTGTTCTATGACACACAAAAAAATAGTTTAATAAAACAGGCTTGACTTTGTTGGAAGCCAGGTTAACTCAATCTTATATTTTGGATGCTCATTTATCGATGAGCTCAATCTCATTCATGCTGAGTATTGTGAATGACCCTCAGCTGCTTCCACTTCAAATTTTAGCCCAGTATCTGAAAGAAGGGGGTCAATAATAAATTACGTTATTCTCTAAAGTTGGAAATAAACCATCATACACAGCAGAAACTTCCAAGTCATGATAATTGGTGCATTTCCTGCTGACCTAATCTGTAAAAAAAAAAAGCTTTCAAGTGCACCCCAAAAAAAAAAAAAAAAAAAACATGTTACATTTGAAGATTTAACTGCATTCATATTTAAATCTATAAACCACAGCTGTAAAGTGAAACTTCGCACAAGTGGATCAACCACAAGATGAGCCAAAAGCTGCAAGATTTAAACCAATACATTTAATGTGCAATAGAAGTCGATCTAATGTGGTTTGGAAAGTTTACTTTTAATAAGAAATAATTAAATTGTTTATCTTTTTTTTTTTCCCCCTTCAGGAAATCGGTGATGTGGGCTGCAATATTTAGCTGTAACAAAAGACAAACCACAAGGCAAAATGTTAATAATTTCCTCATGCATCATGTGATTTCCCACATTTTTCCTCAGCTTGTGAGGGACAATGTCATTACATGTATATAATATTAGAAAGCAGACTGAGATAAGGTGTCCGACTGAAGGTCACCCGTGCCCTCTTGAGTGAACATAAGAGCCCTTTGTGGTTGGGTTAAATGCACATGACAGACTGTTGCAGTGCAATTCCCCTTTTTAATTGGCATGTAACGGTTTCATGTAGAGCCAAGCTGTCTGCAACACTTCGGCGGTTGGAAATCAGAGCCCGGCCACACGACCGCTGATGTGGTCATCTGGATGTTTGCTCCTGTAGCAAACATCCAGATGAGAGCTCTTAGGAAACAGGCTTCTAGGAAGATGCTGATGCTTAATGTGCTAAATGTACTGAATAAAAATGGAGACTACAGCCATAACCATTTTCAAACGGAATAGAAAATACTAATTGATAAATTACCTTTATCTACAGGACAGCTACAAAATAGACTAGAAAACTACCCACTAAAACTCTACTTCACAATTTAGAAGCCAAATATGACGGAAAACATAATTCACTCCAACCCCGACAACAAAGCCTGTCCGCAATCATGTTATGAAAATAAATGCCATTTCATATTAAGTTGTGGTCCGAACCCAACGTTAAAGGCAGGCTTACTGACAGTCAGGAGAATTAGTTCAATTATTTCACCAAATTGGACTAATCATTTCCAGGATACCACTGAAGCAGATGGAGCCATTTATATAAAAAAGGAGCTAGATTTGATCTATATCTCGTGTGTGTTGTGTGGCCTGAGGGCTTTAGGAAACTACATTAGTCACCATTGAAAAATACATTAGACTTACAGTACACTGCTCCCATTCATAGTGTCCAATGCCAAGCTACATTGAAAAGTTTAGCGGCGGCATCAGTTTGACTTCATCTGCAATAAGGAACTAAAAAATCTGAATGAACTTAATTTAAAACAATCATATGCTTTGCTCTTCGGTGTAAATGTTTGGTTAGCTTATATGGTTTTCTGTCAGTTTAACGAAGCAGGATTTGATTTGGACCGCAAACGTCTTGATGGCTATCAGCACAGGTCACTGTGGGGGGGTCAAGTGGAGCCCACAGCAACACCACTGGCTCGTCACTTTTAACACATCAAGAGAACCGCTTCTGCTTCGACACATTCCTAACATTTCTAACAGTCTCCTTTTTAAAAAGTGCAAGTGACAAATGGAGAATCAACTTTAAGCTTCTATTCAAAGTTCAAGAGAACAATTTTATTATCAGGGAAGTGTCAACTTTAGCCATTTATCCATATCAAAACACTGGTCTGAGAATAACTGTGTAATGTAAAAAAAAAAAATAGACTCAAGAGTTGATACATGGCATAAAAAGGCAAAAGACAGTAAAACAGTTAAATGTTTAACAGGAAGCAAAGAGAGAAACTGCTAACAAACATCAGTAAAAATTGGTGTACAAGAATAAGAGAAAAAGAGGAAACTGTACATTGATGGTACACTCTATGCCAGCAGATAATCCTGACATGGTGGTGTAACACGCTGAGGTCCAGTCCACTGCACGTTCAGGTGGACCTGTGCATCAGAAACAACATATTCAGTCAAGTTTAAAACAACAAATTGATACGTGGATTAAATTGTATTCTTTAAAAACAGTTACAACTTTGTTTCTTTCTGGATCAAACCCATTTTAAATAATAAAATCAAGACAAATAGTTATTCATCAATTTTGTATATTATATCCTGATGCATGCTCAATAATCCAGGTAGAAAAATCCAAAAAAGTTCAATCTGGTCCTCTGGACATTCAAAAAAACAAAAGCAAAACAAAGCAAAAGAAATCTAGAAACGTTTCGTCTCTCATCCAAGAGACTTCCTCAGTCTGAGGTGCTGTTTTCAGCTCAGTCTCTTAAATAGCACCTTCT